CTTAAATTTGAGAAAATTGTAAGCGGATATTTTTTTGGGGTTTTTTTCAGACAATCGGTCTCTCGAAAATATTTGTTTTATAAGTTTCGGTCCAAAAAGACGTAAGCGACACCTTTTTCAAAATTTTATTTTTCCTAGAGCATCTAAGGAACATTTCTGCATGAAAAATGAAATTTGAGAAAAAAATGTCGCTTACGTCATTTTGGACCAAAAATTATAAAACAAATATTTTAGACCAATTGTAACAAACTAAAAATCCAAAATTCACTTTCATTCCAGTGACGATGTGAGACACGCCCTTTCCATACTACACTAACGATATGTGTGTATGTACATTAGAGTGGTCCCAGTTTTGTATGATGGAAAGGAAAAGTCATCGTAATAAACGGGACACCCCTAAGTTTTTTCTTTATGGTATTTACAATCAGGGCTATCACTGAATCCGTCGTAGTCCGAATTTTCGCGAAATCTACGAAGATGCTATCACCGTGCATACGTTCGTGGCAATTCGGATTCAGTGATCGCGTTTTCGTACATTTTACGAAGATCGGACTACGATGGTTTCAGTGATAGCCCAGATTATCTATCCCAACTTTCAATTTTCTACTGTAACCAATAGAGGGTGCTTGAAATGCGCTACAGAATCTCTTTGATGCTGACAAAAATTTTGGTGACATTCGGTTTATTCGCGTATTGATAGCTCCTGTTCGCGTACACAAAAGTAGCGGAAATTGAGAGACCAAATTTACATTTCATTCTGATGAAAAGCTGCTAGCTAGGAACAATTTTTGCCAGCAGCCATTTGCCAGCAAGAAAAACAGCTGATCAAAGTCACCTGTTTTCAATTTATGAAAATATGGAAATTTATTTTAGATTTAGATTTGTTACTATGATTTTTAAGTTTGAAATAACTAATTAGAATTGCCAATGTATCGGAAGAAAGCAAATACTCATATACTCATGTTTGATTAGCAAATTGCTTTAGGAAAACTTTTAATTTATATACCTTTCATGTTTTCTCTTTTATGCTTTTCTATGTAAACAGAATTTCGATCAGCTGTACTAAAAACTTGCAATTTTTGCTGGTTTTGCGTTCGCGTACTTTTGCTAGCATTTCTCTCTTTGAGAGAAATCAGATAAAAATTCATCAAATTTTGCTGCTGAGAGTTTTCTGCTTCAAGAATACGCGAATACACCTTTTATAAAAAGCTACTGTTGCCATAACAACTGAAGCTTGTACTGTTATGTTTTCAGCTAATTTAAATTTGAAATGTTCTTAGGTTGCTTAACCAATTATTTGGTTAATATATGTATGTATGTAATATATATGTAGTAATATCAAGGTGTATTAAACAAGGTGTGATTGACAACTCAGGTAGGCTCTCTTTTAAGGTACTATTGTGCCAAAAAATATAAACAATCGATTCAAAATTCATACAAAATTTTTTCAATTTGACTTTATAGGATGGTTCTTCTGAGAGCAATGTCAAACTCAATCACACTTTGTTGAATACATTTTGAGTAATATATAAATATTTCATGAGCATTTTGTAAATTTATGTTGGCAACCTTAAAAAAGTAAATTTGGTGCGGCGAGAGGAAAAATTTTTGAAGGTGTCCCAAACCCTATCTCGGGAAAAAAAAATTTTGACCACCTTAGTGTACATACTACATACACCTGCGTTCAACTAATTAGCAACGAAATTCAAAATGATATTGTTTGCAACTTATGTCTATTTATTTATTTTTAATAATTTTCATTTAATATATAATTCAACCAACAACAGAAACCACGTAAAGAAAAGTTTCAAAGCTTGCACAAATTTCATGCGCATTTTCTTCCATGTAACACATGTTCAAAATCTACTTTAAAATGAAAAAATATCCGCAACACCCTACACAAAAAAAATCTAAAATATCAACGGTACATTTTAGCGACTTGAAACTTGCACTTTATTGGACTAAAATTGAATGGGTTACAAGATTGCATAGCCAAAAATGTTCTAAATATTCTGATTAAAAATTTGGAAATTTTGATAACAATTTTTTTTTTTTTTAACTTTCGCAAGCTTCGAAACTTTTATTTATGTGACTTCTGTTATAGATTTAATTACACATCATTACCTTAATATAGACAGGCCCTATCTCACATTTTTGTTTCTTTACAGAGTAGTTATAAAGCTATATAAACAGCCGTATTCTAAAAAAGTCACAAACTTTAGCTCATCACTACTGTGATTTCTACTGCGCCTCAAAGCTTGCCGCTGCAAAAAATATGCCGCTACAATACAAATTTTTAAATTTTTGTGTATTTTTCTATTTAGCACTCAAAATCGAATTTTTTGTGACACATTTCTCGGCGCACTAGAAATCACAACAGTGATGAGCTAAGTTTTGTGACTCCGTTAGAATAGAGGGGAAAGAATAAAGTTCTTCGGTTGCAAATTCCTTCAAAACGTTGGTATTTAATACACACTGAAACAATTTAATTGATCTAGTTGCTGTTTTTAAATTCTATTAGGTCCTTACTGGACAGTTTGCCAACTTTTGTACAAAGCTGAGTTTCGACAGAAAATGAGTTAGGACCTTTCTATATTAAGGTAACGATATGTATATTTTAAATGAAAATTATTAAAAATAAAGAAATAAACACAAGAGCTTATTTTCGACACACAGCATGTTTATTAGCCTAACTTGTTAGGAAGCAAAAACGAATAAAAACGAATTTTTTTCATTATGTGCATACTATATTAGCTGTAATATCTTTATTTTGCTTTTCTATCTCAGTCTAAAGTATCGCGCCAATATATCCAATCCAAATAAATGCCGCAAGTTCCTGAATCACTCAACAGCTTATACGGTGTTGACATGAGGCGATCTTCCAGGCAATTTTAGAGGCGATTAGTTGAATCAAAAGTTGGATGCCCCCCCCAACTTCATTGGAAGCGATGAGTTGAAAGGCCGTTCACACCAGGCGATTGTTGATTTCACATAAACGTTGCCTGTAGAATCGCCTCATGTAAACACCGTATTAGAAAGAATTCAGTTATTGATGTAGGAGCAAGGGGGGTGGGGAGTGCTAAGCTTTTGAAAAACCTAACTGAAGGCGTTCATGTAGGCTCGATCGTAGTACAAATGACGGAATTAACCCCTTTTTAGTTTTCGTATGTAAAAGGATTTGCTAGCTAAGAGATCTTCCGGATGAATTCGGACATGAATTGAAAAACTGTATCCATATATAAATAAGGCAAAAGCGTTTTACCTGTTCAGTGCATAGAAACTCCCCGCCAAAAGTCGATTGCGGGTCCAAGCGATATCCAAATATGTTTTTTTTTTCTAATACGATTGCCGCTCATCAGGCAATTGCAAACCTCCGAATGTGTTTCTGCATGCCATAAATGTCGTCTGCACTTAAAATTATAGGTACTTCTCCGGGCCTTGTACTCAAGGGATAGGGATTTAACCCAGGTAATGTTCTAGTTTTTTTACGAATCATTTTTGTTAAACTGCTCCTTTCGCTATAGTAAACTCAAATTCAGCTCAAACTTATTGATAGTGTCATTTATTGAATTATTTTTCAACATATTTCGCTAGTATAGACTCAACGTTAAGGCGTTTAATTCCTCTTTTATTAACTTATCTAACTAATTTATAAAACGAATGAAGCAAAGCAAAGGGTCGGTAGAAGTTAATGGTAAATCCCAATGAAAGATTTGGTACTAAAAACATTAAGACGATTTTACTTTAGCACTATTTTCCATGCATACGCTTAAATATTTACTAATAGTATATTAACTAACAAACCGTGTTTCTAAAATAACTACATTTTGAAATGGGTGCTTCTTTAAGTATTTTTCTAGCAATATTTATACAACAAATACAAACATGTTTGCTCGTCTTTCATCGGTTACAGTTTTAAGTACATTTTTAGTTCGAAAAATAACACTCAGATGTATTTTAATATATTCTAAAATAATTTAAGTACGTGGAGTTAGAAAGAATTTTGTTTGCAGATCGACGATGCTAGATGAAAATTATAATTCTTATTATTTGCGAGGGCGTAGTGTTAGTTCAAGGGAGGTTAAGTTTATGCACAACGTTGAAGAATTGAGACATATGTATGTATGTATTTTTTTTTT